AAAAATTACCTACGGACTCTCGCACGCAGCTCGAAGCAGAGAGAAAATGATGAACATCACTATCCAAGTCACAGAATCTTATTGATGTTGATGAGCACATGAAGTAAGAAGACGAACTATGTAAAGCAACGGAACTACAGAACAACGAAAACACGAATTGATCGGGAGCTACGCTTCTCTTACAAAAGACGAAGCACCCCTTGTGTCTCATATACTCCACATATAATTCAACCATGAGAGCTTGTAGATCTCTTTGTCGACTTTCCTATGCACTTTGATTCGCATAATTCTGAGTTTGGATAACAAAGATACAACGATTTTAACCAGGACGCGCTTGAATGGTGCTCAAGCCTTGGCGGAGACACTGCGAGTGTCTCGGCCAAGGCCGAGACACTCCAAGTGTCTGTTTTAGAAGAGAAAATTATCAGAGTGAATTAGAGCCCCAGTGTCTCGACAATGGTCGAGACACTGCGAGTGTCCGTAGACCTAAAAATGCGGTTTTGAGCCGTTTTTAACCATTAACCACCTGGATTTATTCCAACTAATCTAATATTATCCAAAAACATGATAAAGTGATTATAACTGAGGATAAGATCAAATCGTTCATTCCTATCTAAAAACGGAGGCCCCAAAGCCTATAAATACAGCCCTAGGGCCTTCATTTGCACAGATCTGGAATTCTCGAGCCTTGGCGAAGCCCTGCTGAATCAGAGACTGAGGAGCACGAATTTTAGAGAGGAGGAGAAGATCAGATTGAGTTCTTCGACATAAGAAAGAGGAGTTCGTCAGATCTATAGCCCAGTTCCTTCCCTTGAGATCGTACCTAGCTGCGATCTCGAGAAGAGTGGTTATCTCGCTGGTGCCGAGATAATTGCTTCGGTTTCTTAATTCCTTCGCAAATCAATAAAACTCCAGATTGATCTGATCACTTGGTAGTCCACGGAAATTAACGTCCCCGGCATAGACAAAGATCTCACGCAAATAGCGGGTGATAAATGTCCGTTGTGTTTGTTTGAGAAGAGTTGTAATTTTCTTTATTTTATTGTGTAGGGAGATCTTATAAAAAGATCAGAGTTTTAAAGTTATTGTAACGACTAAAGCTGTAATAAGTTACATAATAAAAACATCAACTTTCCACCCAAACACATAGCACCTCTCTATCTGCTGCATAACTCTCTGATATTCGCCATCAAATTAATGCTCTTCAGCATAGAGTCTCTACATCTACTGTACAACTCTCTGGTATGCGTCTTGCTGGTTCTTCAGCCAACCCTTCGGTCTCTGGTATGAATGATCTCTTAATTTTTGACTCTGGCTGTTATTTTCATATGACTCATAATGCCTCCCTCTTATTTTTTGTCTTCATTTCCTCTTCTCTTCCCCCTATCTACACGGCTGCTGGACAACTTTTGTCTATCACTCAGTATGGCTCTATCACCCCACAAACTAACCCATCTGGTCATCTAACTCTTGGCTCCATCTATGTGGCTCCTCAGTTGTGTTTGAATTTATTTTTTGTTAGCTCCTTATGTATGGATGACATACTTGTCTCATTTTCTTCTGATACTTATATTGTACATGATCCACAGACGGGCAAGACTATTAGGACCGATCGAAGGAGACATAAAATGTATTTTCTAGAATATCTTCATCTTCCAAAGGCCATACGTCTACGTTCTCTTGTTGCTTCTTTAAGTCTAAAATACTCTATCTTACTTTCCACAGATTTGTGGCATAGACAACGTGGTCATGTGTCTCATAAAAGGCTGGAAAATCTTATCCAGTCTGGAGTACTTGGTCCCATATCCTCTCGTTCTCATATTGAGTTATGTACTAGTTGTAAATTAACAAAATTCACTGCACTACTATTTCCAACCAGTACATCTGTTTTCATTTTCTTATTTGATTTGGTTCATTCTGATATATGGGGCCAGGTCCTCTGTATTCTTCATCTGGCTACTTATATTATGTTAGTTTTATCGATGAATTCTCTCGTTATACATGGGTCTACCTACTTAAAAATTACTCTGATGTACTTGCTGCTTATCAAGCCTTCACTGCGATGATCTTCACCCAATGGCAAGCTCGTATTAAAGTTTTTCGCTCTGACTGTGCTAAAGAGTACATATCCTCTACCATGCGCTCTATCATGTCTTCTCATGGGACTATCTTTCAACAGTCATGTCCCTACACTCATGAGCAAAATGGTAGTACAGAACGCAAACATCGTTATATTCTCGATACTGCTCGATCCATGCTCATTTCTTACTTTGTGCCTCGTCATTTCTGGGCTAAGGCCATTCTCACTGCTACTCATGCCATTAATATCTCTCCATCTACCTCTCTTTCCGGTGCTACTCCTCATAGTCGTATTTATACTCATCCTCCCTGATATGATCTGGTCCGTGCTTTTGGTTGTTTTTGTTTTGTTCTTCTGCCATCTCACGAACGTGATAAATTGTCTCCCAGAGCTGTTCTTTGTGTTTATTTAGGAATTAGTTCGGAACATCGAGGTTATCATTGTTATAATCCTGCATCTCGTCGAGTTCATATATCCCAACATGTTCAGTTCGAAGAGGATTATCTATTTTATTCTGCTTCCGATGATTTTAATTTCCTCCACACTACTGATCGTGCTTCTTCGCCAGCTGTATCACCTACTTCCTTACCTCAGTTCTCCTTTTGAGATCTCCCTGAAATCTCTCCATCTCCTTCTGTTGACTCTCCCTTACCCGAGCCTTCTCTTCCACCATCTGATCCCTATCTCGTAGACACGACAGCCACTCTAGAAAATACTGTTGACCTCCATGCATATGCGCCAGCATCTCCCCCACCTGAGGTTCCTCTTGCTCTTCGTCGAGACAAACGCTCACATATCATGACTACACGGTATGCTTCAGTTACTTCCTATTCATCTATCTTTCATAATTTTCTTACTACCATTCATACTATAGTTGAGCCAAAATTCTTTCAAGAGGTCGTTCAATTTTCAGAGTGGCGATAGGCTATGGCTAAGGAATTTTAAGCCTTTCAGCAAACACATACCTGAGATGTTGTTCTCTGTCTTCCTGACATCTCTTTAGTTGGCAGTAAATGGGTTTATAAGGTCAAGTATCGTCCTGATGGCACCATTGAACGTTGGAAAGCTCGTTTAGTGGCTCGAGGTTTTACTCAGCAATAAGACATTGATTATGAGGAGACATTTGCTCTTGTTACTCAGATGCCTACCGTTCGTACTCTTCTTGCGATCGTTGCTGCTCATCGTTGGCCCTTATACCAGATGAATGTTAAAAATGCTTTTCTCCATAGCTCTTTATCTGAGACAGTATATATGCAACCGCCTATAGGGTCCAATATTCCTCCGGGACATGTATGTCTCCTTCACCGTGCTGTTTATGGTCTCAAGCAAGCACCCCACGCTTGGTTTGAGTGTTTTCGCGATGTCGTGCTCAAGGCAGGCTTTATGGAAAGTCATCAAAATGCTTCTCTGTTTGTTCGCACTACATCGCATGGCAGAGTTTTATTACTCATCTGCGTAGATGATATGATCATTACAGGTGATGATGTGGCTGGTATACAGTACGCAAAATCTCAGTTGTAACAACAGTTCCATATGAATGATCTTGGATCCTTCGGTATTTTCTTGGTTTAGAAATTTCTCAAGGCCCGCGGAGTGTACTACTGTCTCAACAGAAGTATCTTTTGGATATTCTAGATCGAGCTGAGCTAACTGATGATGCAACTGTTGATACTCCACTCTGATAGATTGTTAAACTTTGCTCTACTGATGGAGAGCCTCTATCTGATCCTACCCGATATCGACATCTTGTTGGCCAATTGGTCTATTTGTGCATCTCTCGACCAGATATCTCTAATGATGTTAGCATTATCAGTCAATTTGTTAGTGCCCCACGTTATGTATACTATACTGCCTTATTATGGATTCTTCGGTATCTCCGGGGTACTAGCACTCGCTCTCTTCTGTTTTCTGCTACATCCAAGTTAGAGCTTTGTGCATATTCTGATGCTGATTGAGCTGGTGATCCCACTACTAGGAAGTCTATCACTGGTTATTGTATATTTCTTGGTGATTCCCTAATTTCCTAGCGGAGTAAGAAACAATATATTGTTGTTCTTTCCAGCACCAAGGCAGAGTATCATGCAATGTCCACAACAGCTAAAGAGATTATTAATCTTCGTCGCAATCTTAGTTATTTTGGTATTTTTGTTACGACTCCTACTCCTCTCTACTGTGATAACAAGAGTGTCATCCAGATTGCTAATAATCTAGTATTTCATGAGAGGAGCAAACATATTGAGACCGACGCTCATTTTGTCTGTTAACAATTTATCTAGGACAAGACAATTCTACTTCCTTATGTCTCATCCGCTGACGAGCTTACAGATTTTCTTCACAAATGCCTTACCTGTTCATCGGTTCCAGTTTTTTATACACAAACTCACTTTGTTTGATCCAATATGAGTTTGAGGGGGGCTGTTGATAATAGTGTATTCTAGTGGGCTTTAGTCCCACATCAGTTGTGAGAACATATCTCACTCTCCTCTACTTGTATAAATATATGTGTACACTCATTATTCAACTCAAGAAAAATTTACCAAAGACTCTCTCTCTCTCTTACTTTAACATTAATGTTTGGGGGAAAGTGGTTATTTGCTGAGAGACCCCTTGTACTATCACCCGATGGCGGAGGTACCTTATGTACTTCTATCTTGCAGATAGACCCGCTTGTACGATCATTCTCCGGGAATATTTAATGGTTTGCACAAAGTTAAGGCTTCAACCTCACCCAAAGCTGCCATCCCACTTCCTCAATCCCACCACGTTCTCCCCTTCCCGACAGGCTAAAAAAAAATTTGAGCGCATATTTATTTAGAAATAAGTTTACAGGAAAAAGCCTGCAGCTATATATATATATCTATCATCAAACATGTGCACCACTAACATTTCTTCTTTACGCGACCTTAACAAACACAACCACTCTTCATGTATGTATGTATACATTCAGAAGCAGCACATATCGATCAGAATCCCCATAGCTCAAAGACATCAAGAATGGCCGAAGCTAGAGACTGGTTGGTAGCGATTCGCCGCACATTTACAAAATTCTCGTGCAAATCTGTCGCCGTTGTCAACCACATTGACTTGATCCATGATGTCACATTAGAAGAAGAAGAAGAAGAAGAAGTCGCTCCTCCTGCTGTAACGGAAAAAATAGCTTGTTACAAAGGTGAGAGAAATTTGAAACGTAAGGGACTACTCGTGGCCAATGATGTTGCAGCAATCAAGATCCAAGCATGCTTCAGGGGGCATCTGGTACGTTGCTGCGATGCTTCAGTAGGCATGGCACACAATAGATAACATTATGTTGCCTAACCTCAAATATTTCTTCCTTTAGGTTAGTCTTAATATATACATTTGATCACTCATTAACTTTGTTTATTTAATCTATTGTTAAGTGGTAATCCATGTGAAATTGAGCATTAATTAGAGTTTTGTACACTAAATTAAAGGGCATGTTGAGAGTTGCTACTGAAATGAATAGGAAACGGAAAAGTTCTAATTATTTAAAATATTTGCTCAATTACTTTATCCTAGTTTTATCATTTTCTATATTTATGGGTTTTTGTAAGTGAAATTAAGCAAACCCTGTATTATTATATATCCTCCAAAAAAGTAATCCCTTTATTACAAAATTTTTTCTTTGATTAGCATGTTTCTCTTTCTCGTCACATATAGGTCAAAGTATTGACTCGATCATTGTCACGCCCGGGCCCCTGAGCCCATTGGCACGATATAAGTTGTAAGACCCACTAAGTATAATGCGTTGTTTGGCTAAATTATCCACTGCCAAAAATTGTTAGCACTTGTTACACTTGAGCCTTAGGCATATCTATTTAAGCCACTCAAACATTTCACACGTTCCGATGTGGGACTAAACAGTTGGGGGTCTCACAATCACCCCATCTTACATATGCGATGTCCTTGTCGTGACATGATCGATGATTAACATATTGTTTGACTAAATCCTCCGCTAAAAAGTGCTAGCACTTGTTGCACTTTTTTTTTGATCGAAAAACAGGGGTAAAACCCCGTTCATTAAAAATATCAAGAATCCAAAAGATTGTTTAGTTACAAAAATAAGACACGAACTGTGTCCAAAATGTTGGAAAATAGAAAATGAAATTTCTACTAGTAGTGATGTATAACTTTCTTCTTCCAAAGATCCATGAAGATGAAGAGATGACCTTGCCGTTATTCACCGTTGACACAGATTTATGGAAGAACCAAAGCTAGCCATACATGTGCATAGTAGAAATTTAATTTTCTATAGTCAACAAATGAAAGATAAAGGAACAGATATATACACAACAAAAACTATAGAATAGATGACTCAAAAAGTCCTCCATCTTTAGACACTTGCTCGAGAGAGAGGAAAATCTTCAAATCTAGCAGAGAGTTCCTTTGCCGCAACACCTCTTCCATTATCTGACCAATCATATAAGCCATAAACCGACTGATTAATAATCTTCTTGTAAGAAAAAATAGTTTTGTCAAAAATTGATTTATTCCTACTGATCCAAATGTTCCAGCATATATATGAAAAAAAGCTGCGCCAAATATAACCAACTCTACCATGAAGCTTATTAACAGTTAATAAAAGATCTTCAAAAGATGATGGCCATGGGAAAGGGAGATAGTAATTCTTGAAATGTGTCCAAACTTGCGCAGATAATGAGCAGGAGAAAAACAAATGGTCCCTGTTTTCCTGATGAGAGCCACAAAAGATACACATTGGATCTTCTGTCCAACCTTTTAGCAAGAGGTTATCCTTTGTGTGAAGTTTATTGTTACATAAAAGCCAGATAAAGAAATTGATTTTAGATGGGATTGAATTCTTCCATATAACTTTGAAATGGGGTGATAAGGAGCCTCTCTGGATGAGGAACTGGTAGAAGGATTTCACTGTGAAAATACCAGATTTAGAAAGCAACCAAACAGGATTGTCAGGTTGATAACAAATTTGAAAATTTCTCAAAAAATTCAAGAGATCAGCTTTGTCAGATTGAGAACAGAGAGAAATGCATCTCCGCAATAGAGGTCTCCAATGCCAAATAGAGTCTATCAGAAAAGCTTGACTGCAGATAGGAACATTTGAAGAGAAAGCTAGATTATAAAGAGAAGGGTAGAGGCTTGCCAGAGTGTTTGAACCTGTCCACTTATCTTCCCAAAAGCGAATCTTATTACCTTCACCAAGAGTCCATGAAATATTATGAAGAAATTCATCTTTAAGAGATATTATAGCATTCCAGAATGATGAGTATGATGGTGATGAGTGAATCATTTGAAAAGATAAACCCCTGTTGCAATACAGTTGACGAAGAAAACCTCCAGTATATGAATGTTGATCTAGGCATTTCCAGAACCATTTTGATAGCAGAGCATTGTTGAAAACACGTATGTCCTTTACTCCTAGTCCACCCTTTAATTTGCTTAAACATACTTTTTTCCAGTTAACTAGGCATTTGAAACCACTAGCTCTTTCAGCTCCCTTCCATAAGAATCCCTTCCTAATTTTATCAATACTTTTGATGACCCAGTTTGGAAATCTGTAGAAAGACATGAAATATAAAGGAATAGAAGTGAGCACTGAGTTTAGAAGGACTAATTTTCCTCCATATGATAAAAAATTCCTCTTCCAAAATGCAAGCTTCTTATGAAGATTGTCACAGATAGGTTGCCAATCAGATTTCTTCAACTTTCCATATTTCAGAGGCATACCTAAATATTTAATAGGAAGAGAGTCTGCTTTGCAACCAAGGGAATTAGATAAAAGGTGCTTTTTCATAGCTATTTTTCCAAAGTAAACAAGGGAAGATTTGGAATAATTAATTGCCAATCCTGAGACATCCTCAAAAAAATAAAGAATTATTTTCAGGACAGAAATGTCCTTTGAAGAGCTCTTAACAAATAGGAGTGTATCATCTGCAAATTGTAGGATTCTCAACTGATTGAGGGGTGGCTTAATACCAAGATTTGATAAGATTCCATCTTCAACATTGTTATGTATCATCTTGTGTAAAACATCCACTGCTATATTGAAAAGCATTGGAGATAAAGGATCTCCTTACTTAAGACCCCTCTTGCAAGAAAAGAATTTTGAAGGTAAGCCATTAACTTTAATAGAACACTGAGAAGAAGATATAATATGATAAATCCATGTGCACCACTTAATTCCAAACCCTCTAGCTTTGAGCAAGCTAATTAAAAAATTCCAGTTGATGGAATCAAAAGCTTTGGTGAAATCAAGCTTAAGCATGTCAACTTCATTCTTCCTCTTAGAACAAAAATGAATCATCTCATTAGCCATGATAATGGAATCGAGTGTTGATTTTCCTGACTGAAAGGCTGATTGGGTGTGAGAAACTAAATTAGGAAGAAGAGGAGCCAGTCTGTTAGCAATCACCTTAGAAAAAATTTTGAAAATGCAGTTTATAAGACTGATTGGTCTGAAATCCTTCACTAGAACACTATCTTTGATTTTTGGAATAAGGGTGATGAAGACTTTGTTCACCCTACATAAGCTAGATGGATTGAGTTGTAGAAAAGTCATCAAATTTATCAAATCATACTTGATAACATCCCAAAAAGTCTGGTAAAAAGCCATAGAAAACCCATCAGGGCCTGGAGATTTGTTGGCATTCATACCAAAAACTGGTTTTTTGATTTCATCTTCTGAGAAGGTATCTTCTAAGGAGGTAAGATTAACACCTTCGTGAGGATATAGCTGACACCAGTTCATACTTATGCTTGAATTTGAATCCCTACCAAAAAATGATAAGAAGTATTCACAAAAAGCATTGGAGATATCTTTTTCATTTGACAGATCTTTTCCTTGATGATTAATGGATGTAATGAAGTTTGCATTCCTATGGAAAGTAGCAGTATTATGGAAAAAAGCCGTATTTGCATCTCCCTCCTTTAACCATTGGATTCTAGATCTCTGATGCCAATAAGTTTCTTCTTCTTGAAGAATAGAAGAGAAGGAGGATTGAAGAGACTTCCTATCATGGAATTCTGAATCAGTTAGAGGCCTTTGTTCCTCCAACATATCAAAGGAGTTAATTTTAGATAGAAGCTCATCTTTTCTAGCAATTGAACCAAGACAATTCTTTTTCCACCATTTTATTCTTCTTTTGGTAAGATTGAGTTTTGAAATGAAAACATCTACAGGACTTCCGTGACACCGGAAAGAATTCCAGCAACTTGTAATGAAAGGAATGAAATCTGGATTCTGTAGCCAACTTCTTTCGAATCTAAAAATAGGAGGTGCAGGATGGAGACCAGAACTATCTAGAACAATAGGGGAATGATCAGAGCCCAAAGCAGGAGGGGAAAATTGCAAGGAAGATGGAAATTTTTTGTCCCAATCAGAGCTAACAAGAAACCTGTCCAGTCTTGCTAGAGAAGGAGATAGACGTTTATTAGACCAAATATATGATCTACCTGATAAGGGAAGGTCATAAAGAGATAAATTATCAATGAGATCTCTGAATGAGTTGATGTCTCTATATGAACCTATTCCTCCATTTCTCTCATCAGCATGCAAGGTAACATTAAAATCACCACAAAGCACCCATGGCCCATTAAAAGAAAATCTTATTCGATTAAGCTCCCACCAACAAACTTCTCTATCTTCCCTCTCATTTGGGGCATAAACTGATGTAAAAGAGAAACTCCATTTAGAATGTTTATGAAGAAAAGAAACAGTGACAGAGAAGATACCAACATATGATTTAATTAAGGAGAAAGAATATGACCAACCCACTAGAACTCCACCTCTAGTGTCCAAAGAATCAAGACAACACCAATTAACAATCCTCTTACCTCCTATAGACTGTAATTTTCTCTCTGAGGGATTAGAAAGTTTGCTTTCTTGAAGGCCAACCACATCTATAGCAGAACGAACTAGAAAATCTTTCACCAGACGCCTCTTAAGAGGGTCATTTAAACCACGCACATTCCAAGTAGATAGCTTCATATTGGAAGAAATTAAGAACCAACCAAACAACTAACCACAAGACCCACCCTTAGGAACTAAGTCCCATTTCCACTTCTTTAGCTTTAAGAGAATCTATAGAATGATCAGAAAGAACTAGACCACAATTGGTAGCTATGTTCTTAATAACATCCTTAGCTAAAGAATTAATGGGAGCTGAAGAGGAAGCAGAGGAAAGTAAAGAAGTACCTTTTTTGCTCACACGGATCTTCTTCCTAGCAGCTAAGGATTGTCTGATAAAAAGATTATGCTTGGAGCTCAATGGTGGCTTTCTGGCAGATTTGGAGGAAGTACCAACTTCAGCACGACGAGAAAAACCTGGAGGAACCGATCCTGATGATTGAAGAGCTGGAGTATGTACTGAATTTGGCGCCATTTATGTGGCAGAATTTGAATTTGAAGAATCAGCTTTCCCGCCAATATAAGATTCCCAAGCAGACCTCTCAATAAAAACCATGTGACCTCACAATCATTTTACACTTGAGTTTGGGCATATCTATTTAAGCGTCTCAAACATTTTACACTTTCTAGATGTGGGACTAAACACATGGGGGTCTCACAATCATGCTATATTCTAGAATTTGGAGTAGTGTTTCCTTGTCTTTAGTGTCTATATTAAGTTTTGTTATTATTCTATCTTGAGTTAATGGTTTCTTTTCCATCCATTTCTACAGTAGTAATAAGTTGCATTATTGCCGCGTAGGATATGATCTGATAAGTACTGTAAAATCTATATGTATATTTGGTACGTATTAATGCAGGCTAGGCGTGCCTTGAGGGCTTTGAGGAGTCTGGTGAAGCTGCAGGCCTTGGTGCGTGGTGTTTGCGTGCGAAGGCAGGCGAAGATCGCCATCCACTGTATGCAGGCCATGGTTCGGTTGCAGGTCAGGGTTCGCGCAAGGCGGCTCCTAAGGACCTCAGGGGAAATGGAGCTCTTGCAATCTTAATAACAAAACTGTAGTGTTAATCCTCACTGGTATGTGCGTGATTTGTTCAAAAGCATGCCTGATGTCAATTTTATCTATATGTCGTGTGTATTCTATTTACAGCACTCCTCAAGTTTGTTAGACAAGAGTTTAAATAACACGTGCACATCCTCTTTCTTCCTTATTTGAGAATAGAGAATATGAGGGTTTGCTTTGGATTATTTTGCTCGACGTACCCATTCTCATGTTGTGGATTTTAAATCTCAACTCCTCTTAGCTCAGTACATATGGTTATTATATCTATATATACTATACTTGTATTTTTATATACCTAACCCCCTTTCCCCTGGGGGCGGTGGAGATGTTCTCGCTAGCGTTTTGACGCTCATTGTTTTCATCTTTTTTAGGCAGCGAGCCAGGCGTCCGGAGAGTCGCAGGTTGACGGAGATTCAGTCTAGCTCACCGTCATCTATTAGTAGTTAATTAGTGCTCCACAGTAGCTTATTATTTATTTTCAGTCTTTAGAGATGTATTACATGTTGGATGATTAGTGCCTTAGTACTATTTTCAGTTGACTCTTGTGTTTGGAGATTTATTACTGTGCTTCAGATTATCAGTTGTATTTTCTTTTTTTCCTATTGGAACATGATTACATTTACTATTGGTTATCTCTTCTTTATATTATTTTCCTTGTATCATTACATTTAATCTATCTCTTTGTACCCGCACTTTTTTTGTTTGATTTCCACTAGAGAGATATTACTGTGATGGTGAAACATGTTGTTGCAGTGTTGGGTGCATGACATGTTTGACATCTTTGGGTTCACCTTGGACTGCAGCCTTGTGTGAAACCAGGGGCATCATAAGTGTTAAACTTTAAATTACAGCGAGAGGATACGAATCTAAATGAGCGTTCAAAGTTTTACCTAATTGAGCTCCATCATGTAACTCGCTCTCGTTAAGCAACTGCTTATTCCGTCTACTGTAAAACTATGGAGGAAATTAGAGAATAGAGCATCTTTGATCAGTGAAATGATACTACATATATGCCCCATCTTTGGTTATCTTAATGCCAGTATATTGCAAAAAATGTCGAATGCAATGGCAAGAACATAGTAAAGATGACCAAGTTAAACAGACTGAATAAAAAAACCTCTTATTCAAGGAATTAATACACACAAATTTTCAAAAGAACCACCTATGATTCCAACATTTAACATCACTTATTTCAGAGGAAGTCAGTGTCAACCATCCTACATGATATAAATGACCTCCTCGACCTTATTCAAACAAACGACACAGACTTCACACAACAAGAAGAAAGCAGAAACAAAAAATACATCAACAAACCCAAACAACACAATCAACAAACCCAAACAACACAATCAATTACAATGCTCTCACAGTGACAGGACCCTCATCGGCGGCTCCTTCTGCATCTCCACCACCTTCCTCCACGAAGTCCTGCTCGATATCATATCCCACCACTTCATAACCCTCCCCTTCGACTCAAACATTGATCTACACCTTGGTATCTTCATAAGCTTGTGTGCATTGGGGAGGTGAGAGAGATCAGCGAGCGAGAAGCTGTTCCCAGCCAAGTATGCACTGTGTCCGAGCCTTTTCTCGTAAACGTCGAGCACATTTATAAGCTTCTTCTCACTCTGCTCGACCAGTTCCTCATCTTCTTCCACTCCAGCAAACGGAGCGAATGCCAAGTGAAATATAAGTGCAGAGCTTGGAGGGTCGAAAATTTGTGCTTCGTTTAGAAGCCATTGCTCGATTGATGCTCTCTCTAGTGTCCCGGAACCTACGAGGCTCTTGGTCCCTTTGTCTGCATATTTCTCTCCAATGTGTCTGATTATTGCCCTCGAATCTGCACGTGAAGGTAAAACAGTTAAAAGCGAGATCCCTGCGTTTTGTATTGAGAGTTTGAGACTTTGGATACACTTACCAACCATAGTTAAGCCCTCGTCCACGAACGTGAGGGCTTGACCGCATGGCTACACAAGTTAACAATAAGATTTTTATACCGTGTAAGAAATAAATTACTTATTTAAAAAAGAAGTAAATTTCATATATATAGAACAGATGCTGTAGATAACTGTAAAAGTGGATATGGACTAGACTAATTAATCTACTTGGACCAAGATTGACTCAAAAAGATTCAAGTCTTTATTAATCAGGCAGGAGTCCGTATATATTTAGCCACTCTCAGTCACATGGAAGTAAAATATGTTGAGTCCTGTGAAATATTAGCAACAGTAAGTACGTAGTTTCTTGTGATCATATATATTGCATGAACCTGTAGCTTGAGATAATCTGGCTGCCTCTTCTGACCCTTGAAGGAGTCAGCACGGACGAGCCGGAACTCTACATTTTTCTCGAAAAGGCATGTTAGGACCCTGGCAACCTCGGAGGATGTTGGTGATCCAAATACCGTCACTGCTGGAGCCATTTCTATCTCAAAGCTTTGGGAATTATCTGAACTCAGAGAGAGGGAGGATGCGTTGGTCGTGACATATTTGGATCAGCATACACATATATAGGCATTAGGATGTGAAGGCATGAATACTTTGCTTCACACAGGAAGAAACAAATAAAAGCAAAAGGGCGAAAAAGATGAAGAATGAATCATTAAAGCTAAAGCAAATTACTTGTGCTGATAAACCTGCTTGGAGGGCTACAGGCCACATTTAGTATCTCCTTTGAGATTATTCAATTAAGAACCAAGACCAAAGTGGATCCCATGCTACATGACCAAGATTTGTTTTCATGTAATGATTACAGGAATAACCTTCTATAATTTAAATGTCTATAAGAAATTTTTTTTCTCCTTTCATGAGGAAAAGATGAAGATGAACACAGAAGTAATATCTTGCCCTCGCTGAAGACATTACTAGCATTTTATGCAACCTCAACGAATCTAAATTTTTGTTGGATTCCAACACTATGATCTTAGGTTAAATTTCTCTTTTATAGAGTCAATTTTGTGAAAAAATAGCAATCAGATTCTTATATATGTTAAACAGCATGTATAAAGAAAGATTCAGACGCGCTTAAGTAGGAGATAAATTAAGCAAATTTAATCAAAATTAAGTACAGAGGTACAATAAAACTCATAGATTAATTTGATTTAAGACTCCGTGGTGTTCAGTTGCGTTAGTTTGAAACACGCTAATTCCAGCTCAATGTCGTCCCATGAATACTGAAATTTCGGTGACGTGTTCGTTTATGTCATCCTTCTTATACCAACAACGTAATCTTATATTATCATAAAACATGGATGGGATGTTAAAATATTTTTCCCTAAATGCCCCCCCAACACATCCCTACGATCGTACTTACATGAATGCATAGAAACTCTTAACTATCACTAGTGGAAATAGAGCTTTTGCTGACGGCAACATCGCTGACGGGAAAATACCGTCAGCGTTGTTTACATCGCTGACGGGAATTGCCGTCAGTGATGTTGTCGTCACTATTTCCTAGTTGCCGTCAGCGATGCAAACATCGCTGACGGTAGATGAACATCGCTGACGGGTATCTCGTCAGCGATGTTGTTCCAAAATCCCCATCTCGCGAAAATTCCCCCCTCGTTAAAAATTCCCGCTCCCCGTTAAAAACTTCCCTCGTTCCCCCACCCGCTCGACGGAACCTCGGCGTGCCCTCGTCCCCCGCCGACCCTCACCGTGCCCTCGTCCTCGCTAACCCTTGTCGTGCCCTCGTCCCTCGCCGCCCCTCGCCGCCAAAGAGTCGTGCCCTCTTTCAGGTATAAGATCTCGATCTCTATAAGATCTTGTTTTCTTGTTCCTTTGATTTTGAGAAATTAGGGCGTAATCTCCAGAGTCTCCCTCTCTTTGGTATTTGTTCGGGGCATAGTTTGATCTGTTAGATTCTAGGTTACGTTTGTTTGTTTATTCTATGAAGCTCGGCTGTTTTTACACTTGATTGTGTTTCTAAATTCTTGTAAAAGTTCATGCATGTGCCAGCGAAATCTTGAGTCTTGTAAAAGTTCTTGTAAAAGTTGATGTAAAGGTCTTCAAGGGTCTGATTTTGAGAAACTTGGAGATTTTATTGTTGTTGTTGTTGTTGTATTAGCAGTATGAATATTCTTGAGTCTTTGTCCATTCATATATCAGAGGTAACAAGTAAACTTCATCCCATATGTTCAAACCGTTTTCTACATCTCTCTCATGAATGAATTTTGATGATGAAAATATAATTTGAGAACCTTAATGAGCTAAACAATATACCTCTGGAAATGTCAGCTGCAAATGATGGGTCTTCTTCTTCTCGGTCTCAGGTGAGCTAACTGAATCCAAATTTTCTATAATATTACAAGATTGGTGTGTGAAAATGAGTGGGTGTTGAGGATTTTGCTCTAAATTTTGTCTCTAAATAAATTATTGTAAAATACAGTAGATATGAATATTAGGGCCTCGAATACTTGAATGGATATAAATTGAATAACCTAAATTTAACGCGTTTGTCATCGAAAGACATATTGCCATGAGCTAATTATGCTACTTAATCTCAGTTTGATGATAATTTGAGATGATTCTTACTTGTGCTGTCAAAGCCATTTAAAGCATCGCATTTGTTGTTTTCATGCTGATTCAATTTATTAGTTTATCCTAAGGTAAGTTTCTTATGTTGTGACTCTTAATGAGTATATGTTATGATTTGGTAAAGTATCAGTTGCTCCAAGAAATGGACTTTAATGCATATTTTGCTTATGTAGGTGCCTGGTGTGTCTGTTGATACAGTTTCTCCTCCCCTCATCGATTCATCTTCCACTGGGACATCTAGTAAGAGTGAGGTATATTGTTATTAATCCACGAGTTCATTGTCGATTTGGGGTAATTTATAATCTCTTGAAAGGAAAAAATTGATTTTTATATCTTTTATTCCTTGATTTGGGAGATTTTTGGATATAGTTTTTTTCCTAATAAGAAGTTCAAATGTTCTTGATTTGCTTAGGAACATATAAGCCTGACCGAAGCAGACAGGCAACTTATGTATGCAAGCAGGGAAGAGAGCAGATGAAGAAGAGTTAGAGGAGATTCAGGATGAGAGACCAACAAAAGAAAATTGTATGCTATGTAGGTGAAGAGAAATGCTATGTTTTGGTTGGTAGCAGGTGGATATGGTTGATTAAGGAGTAAAATTGAATGTGTGTTGTACAGGTAGAAGAGGCTAGAAATTGTATTTGTAATAATGATCTTGTATACAAACATAAAAATTTAGTTTATAATGGAAAAAATGTGGTCGTTTATTAGCTTCATATTTGTTTAATGATCAATTAATTGGTTTATGCTTCAAATAAACCTGTAATCAAGGATGACGAGCATCAGAAATATGAGCATCAGAAATATTATTGACGGGCTTGCCGTCAGGGATAAACATCCCTGACGGCAAGCCGTCAGGGATGTGCATAACATCCCTGACGGGCTTGCCCATCAGGGATGTTTCAACGTCCTTGACGGCAGGCGTCGTCAGGGAAGATGCCGTCAGTAATACGTATTACTGACGGCAGCCCGTCAGGGATGTTTCTTCCCTGACGGGACTTTTTCTGACGGCGTATCCTTGACGGGAAGCCGTCAAGGATACTTATCCCTGATGGAAAAATTATCATCCCAGACGGGAAAGCCCGTCAAGGATGCACATTTTTCTACTAGTGTATATGGAATAAAGCTTCTATAAACTTAAGTGGATATGAGCACTTGTCCACCAAACTTTATATATATATATATATATATAAAGAGAGAGAGAGAGAGAAATATGGATATGCTTGGTACCAAGCATAATTTTTATGCTTGGTAGTGAAGTAACACAATCCCCTCCACTCATTCAAATGGGGACCACATTCACATGGGTTGAGGAGTGCATGGGGATATGTAATCATTTAAATGAGTAGAGGGGATTATGTAACCTCACTACCAAGTACAACTTTTTATGCTTGGTACCAAACATACCTATTTTTCTATATGAGCACAGTTTAACTAAATGAGATCAAATGGGTCTCCCTCAAATCACAAACTAAGCAAGACCCACAAATCACAAAAAAAAAAGATCAAATGGGTCTCCCTCAAATCACAAACTAAGCAAGACCCACAAATCAAAATCCAAACTTTTTCATACCTCAAATCACAAACTAAAAAAGATCAAACTTTTTCCTACTCCGGTTGCTCGCGTCGGCTGCAGGGAGGCGGAGAGAGGAAAGGGGGTGCCCACGTTGGCTGCAGAGATGCTGAAATCCGACAGTGCGCTTATCAGAAGCTCGACGGTGAGATCAGGCGGTTCGCTATGGGTTTGGGGATCACGCAGGAGGAAAGGGGGTTGGGGAGAGAGAGATTTGGGGATTCTATGGAAGGAGGGGGTATTTGAGATCTGGATTTGGGTTAGGATCATGAGATCTAGGTTGGGGTCACGAGATGCTAAAATCGGATGAATTTTTTCAAAAAAACCCCTGCAGCGCACAAACTATGCAAGCTGGCAGCTCACATACAGTTGGACTAATGCCAAAGTCAAATAAAACAAGGACTTAAATGCAATAAAGCAAATCCCAAAAATCCCACATCCCACGCTTCTTTCCCCAAAAAGACGCTGCTTTCTTTTCCTCCTCCATCCTTCGCCAGCTTTGAAAAGGAAATTCAACCGAACCCACTTCTCAAGAAGCAGAAAATTCATCCGAACCCAATCCTCCATCCCACGCATCCCCGCCCTTCACTGATCTTCCTCAGGTATTTGCATCAATCTTTGACGTTTTTTATTTTATTTTTTTTAACCGAACCCAATCCTCCATCCCACACATCCCCATCGCCAATCCTTAGGAAATCTAACGCATCCCCTTCGCCTATCTTCAGGAAACCCAACGCTACCCTTCACTGATCTTCCTCGGGTATTTTATATCAATCTTTGAAGTTTTTTTATTTTTATTTTTTTTAAAGGAATCAACTTAATTTTTATTTGCTAGAAGTTTGATATAGTTTAGAATTATGTGAATTATTAAGATTTATTTTTTAAAGGAATCAACTTTAATTCTTGTGTGATTGTTCTCCTAAATTCACAGGCATATAGTTGATGAAAGTTTTTTTCCCCCAACAACTTTGATTTTAATTTTTATTTACTAAAAGATTTATCAAAATCCTTAGAATTTATGTGCTCTTGTATTTTTTTTCTTCGAATAATTGAAATTACTTATAAGCTATGTTTTCATTATTAATTTTAGTGAAGTTTTCTCTTTAATTTGCAATCTGTCGTTTGACGGTATGTTTTATTTTTAAATAAAACTAAATATAACTTTTTTTAGAAGCTTCATTGTTACATTTTCTTTGTCAACGAAGTGGATGCCATGCTACATGACCACGATTTGTTTTCATGTAATGATTACAGGAATAATCTTCTATAATTTTAAATGCATATAAGAATTTTTTTTTTTCCTTTCTTGGGGAAAAGATAAAGAAGATGAACACAGAAGTAATACCTTGCCCTTGCTGAAGACATTACTAGCATTTTATGGAACCTCAATGAATCTAAATTTTTGTTGGATTCCAACACTATGATCTTAGGTTAAATTTCTCTTTTATAGAGTCAATCTTGTGAAAAAATAGCAATCAGATTCTTATATATGTTAAACAGCATATATAAAGAAAGATTCAGACACGCTTAATTAAGTAGGAGAAAAAACAAAATTTAATCAAAATTAGTTTGATTTAAAACTCATAGATTAATTTGATTTAAGACTCCGTGCATGGTGTTCAGTTGCGTTAGTTTGAAACACGCTAATTCCAGCTCAACGTCGTCCCATGAATACTGAAATTTCGGTGACGTGTTCCTTTATGTCATCATTCTTATATCAACAACGTAATCTTATAATATCATAAAACACAGATGGGATGTTAAAATGTTTTTCCCTAAATGCCCCCAACACATCCCTAGGTCGTACTTACATGAATGCATATAAACTCTTAATATAAAGTGATAGTTAGCCAGCCCTTCGACACATCAAACCCCCCCAACCCAGTGGCGGATCCACACCCTCTCGCGTGGTGGTTCAAAATATACATTAATATTTTTTTTTCAAGATCTATTATTAGAGGCGTAAAAAACAATAAATAAATATAAAACGAAAAAATATTTTTAGAGAAGAAAAAATAAAAAAATAGGAGAAAGTATATATATATATATAAAGATAATTACTTGTCTTATCTTCATCTAAATACAGTAAATAGAATGTTGGGTTAAAAAAAAGAAAGAAACATAATGTAGAGAAAGTGGTTTGTAAAAAAGCAAACTTAGAAAGCTTTGGGAGGATTAGAACCTGTGACCCCTTAGAAACTAACAACCCACTAGTACCACTAGGCTATAAGTTTGTTATGTTCACTAACAGATATCTATAATATATAGTCCATTTACGAAAGTTGAGGTGGTTCAAGTGAACCACTTTGAACAGGCATGGGTCCGCCAATGCCCCAACCCACCCTACCACCCTACCCCCCACCCCAACACACACACAAACATATATATATATATATATATATGCATGTGTGGTGTGTGTGTGGATGGATGTGTGTGTGAATGGATGGATGTGTGGATGGATGGGTTTTTAGAAATAAGCTTGATGAGTTTGGCATAGTTACTAGGAATAAAACTCGTTTATTTGTCCAATGATACAATCAAGAGGATGGCATAGATTATGATGAAACTTTTGCACCGGTTGCAAGATTGGAATCTATTAGGATATTTTTGGTCTTTGCTAGTTTTAAAAATTTTAAATTGTTTTAAATGGATGTCAAAAGTACTTTCTTAAATGGTTTTATAGAAGAGGAAGTTTATGTTGAGCAACCCCCGGTTTTATTGATTCTTCTTTTTCAAATCATGTATACCGGATTCAAAAAGCTTTATATGGGTTAAAACAAGCTCCTAGAGCTTGGTATGCTCGGCTCTCAAGTTTTCTCCTTGAACATTGTTTTATAAAAGGAACAATTGATAATACTCGTTTTGTTAGAAAATGGAAAAATGGTTTCATTTTAGTTCAAATTTATGCAGATGATATTATTTTTTGTGCCACTAATGAATCTTTGTGCAATGACCTTTCTAAAGTAATGCAAGATCAATTTGAGATGAGCATGATGGGAGAGCTCACCCTCTTTCTCGGCCTCCAAGTTAAACAATCCAATGATGGTATATTCGTGTCACAAAGCAAGTATGCTAGGTAGTTGGTGAAAAAATTCGGGATGGAAAGCTATCAAACATGCCCCAATTCCAATGAGCACTACCATCAAGTTGGATGCAGATGATAGTGGTGAAAAAGTAGACCAAAAGCTATATCGATGTATGATAGGTAGTATCCTTTATCCCACCGCTAGTAGGACGGATATCATGTTTAGTGTTTGTACATGTGCACGCTTTCAAGCTTCTCCTAAAAAGTCTCATTTGGTTGCGGTTAAAAAAATTATCAAATATATTAATGGCACCTTAGAACTTGGTTTATTTTACCCTAAACATACATCTTTTAATTTTTATGGTTATTATGATGCTAACTTTGCTGGTTGTAGGGTGGACCGCAAGAGTACGAGTGGTACTTGTTAATTTTTGGGTAACTCCCTTGTATCTTGGGCATCCAAGAAACAAAATTGTGTCGCCTTGTCCACTACGGAAACGTAATACATTACCACCGGCCTATGTTATGCACAACGTTTATGGATGAAACAAAATTTGGTTGATTTTGATTTGTATTTTCATGATACAAAATTTTTTGTGATAATACTAGTGCTATCAATATTTCAAAAAATTCAGTTTTGCATTCTAGAACCAAACATATAGATGTACGATATCACTTCTTGCGTGACCATGTTGAACGGAAAGATGTTTCTCTTGTTTATATTGACACAAAATCTCAATTAGCGGACATCTTTACCAAACCCTTTTGTGAAGTTGATTTTTGCCGTATTAGAAATGAATTAGGCATGTGCATTCTTTAAAAATTATATTTTTGCCTATTTTTGCTTGCTATCTTTCTTCGCTTTACCATTGTTATATCTATTCTTTTATTGATCCATAATGTTATACAATGCTTAAGCACACACAGGTACCAAGAGGAGTGTAAAGGTGAGAGATCGGGATCAATTCCAAGAGGAGTAGGACCGGTAGTAAAGCCTAGTGAGAGATGGTAATTCTTAATGCTTGAGGAATATGACAGGGGTAGGCCAACACTTGAGGTGCATTGTGTGCGTTTTGGCATGCATTCTTGTCTTTTTTTCCCATTTTTGATGGTGACAAAGAGGGAGAGAAATCTCCTCATTTGTGCACATAGTTAGGGGAAGCCTTAGAGATAGAGGGAACAACTATCTATAAGCCAAATAATCAATTTTATTTGCTCTTGAATAATGGTTGTTTGTCATCATCAAAAAGGAGAAGATTGTTAGCCTTTTTGTTTTAATGATGATTTACAAACACCATTGTTGGTGCTAATTGTTTATTGAGCTATATTGTGGATTACAATTCATTATCACCATTGATTGAAGAGTGGATGGAATATGGGCTACAACGACGATATCTAAGGAGGTGGAGGCAAAGTGATGAAGTAAAGCTTTCAAAAGAGCACTACATACATGAGAAGCTTCATCAACATAGAAGCAAATATCAAGACTCAAGCCATGTACTTATATGTGAGGGATATTTGTTATTTTATTTTCTTCTTAGTACTTAATGTAGGTAAGTAGTTTGTTGATTACATTTGAAGCTCTTGGAATAACACACTTACACAGTTCAATACTCGTATTTTAACATTGTTGCTAAAACAATGATTTTTACAAATACGAGGACCTTTTTGAAATTCCTTTTCAAACAAGTTTGTTACTATATTTATAAATTATTTTCCAAAGTTTCATATTTTTTTAGAATTTATTTGCTATTTTTAAAAGATATTTGAAACTCATTTTCAAAAACCAATATTGGTTGAAAAATCATATCAGTCGACTGATGCTTGAGATCAGTCGACTGATGAAATCCGTCAGAATCTTAAAAAAGTATTTGTTTCTTATTTGGTCGACTGACCAGTCGACTGATGATCTCATCAGTCGACTGATGATCTCATCAGTCGACTGATGAATGAGATCTGTCGACTGATGAATGAGATCAGTCGATTGATGAAACCTACCAGAATTACCAAATGTTTCTACTTCTTATTTGGTCGACTGACCAATCGATTGATGATCTTATCAGTCGACTGATGATCCTGTCAGTCGATTGATGTGCTTGAAATTGACTCTAACGGTTAGCTCATTAGTCGACTGATGTAACCCGTCAGTCGACTGATAAGCCTCCAACGACTAGTTTTGTGCAGAATCATGTTTCTCAATTTTTGTATGCTTTTGTCTGTTTCTTTAGGGCTTGGCTGTCATCTTCACTTCTTATAAATACCCACCAACCCCATTAACTTCTGTAACCAAGCAAGCATTGAAAAATCTCTTGATTTTATGTTTATTGTTCAAAAGAGCTTCAACTTTCATTTTTTTTCACACTTTCAAATCTTACATCCCAAGCTTCACTTGTAATCTCTTCCTATTGCCATAGAGTTGCTGTAAGAGAGAGTTTTTCTTTCATTTGTAACTGTTGTGAGCTTGATCTCATGGAGATCTACTGTGTGGTTGTGAGATCTCAGTAGAGATCGTTGTGTAGAGAAGTTTCGGCTTCCAAACCGGGTGTGTTAGTAGATTTCGGATTTCTCCTCGAGAGGGGGGAGCTGGGACGTAGGTCAGAGGACCGAACCTCGTGAACATATCGCGTGTCACCAATTGGCTAACTATTTTTTATCCCTGCTCTCTTTTATTGTCATTGCAATTTACATTAGCTTGTGATTTGTTGGAATATCTTTTAATTGCATTTTCATTGTCCATAAACCCTATTCACCCCCCCCCCCCCCCCCCCCCCCCCCCCCTCTAGAGCCTTTCAATTGGTATCAGAGCAAGGTCTCTACTATTTGTTAGGCTTAAACCCCTTAGAGAAAAGAACTAAATGGAGGCTTCAATGAATATGTATATGTCAGAAGAACAATCCACCACTAAGCCACCCCTTTTCACTGTAGCAACTTTGCCTATTGAAAAGTTGGGATGATGATTTATTTATAATGCATTAACCTTGATATCCTAGATATTGTGGAGAAAAAATATGTCAAGAATCCTAGTAGTGAAATGACCGAGGAAGAGTGGAACCTAGCTAACCTTAATATTAAGGTCATGAATGCACTAATTTATGGTCTTACTCCCAATGAATATAAGAGAATTTCTACGTGTACAACCACACACAAAATTTGGGAGAAGTTATGCATCACTCATGAAGGAACCCCCTAAGTAAAGGAGTCTAAGATTAGTAGACTCATGCATGATTATGAACTTTTAAAATGCTTCCAAATGAATCTATCAATTCTATGTTTTCTCGGTTCACTGACATCATAAATGAATTAAATGGTCTTGACAAGGTTTTGGAGAATCAATAGATGAATTACAAGATTCTTCGCTCTTTGACGCCGGCTTGGAAACCTAAAGCCACAGCCATCGAAGAAGCTCATGACCTCTAAACTCTCACTCTTGATGGTCTTATTAGCATGCTCAAGGTCCATGAAAAGAAGATCAAGGAGAAGGAAGAAGAAACCCTAAAAACAACCGAGGAGTCATCCCAAAAATTAAAGTTTATTACACTCATGGGAGCAATTGATGATTCATCCTCCTCGGATAGTGAAGTTGATGTCTCTAAAGAACTGGAACACCTCTCTAGAAGGATATCAAAATTAATCAAAATGAATAAAAAATTTAAGAATCGATCTAACAACAAATTTCCTTCTCGTATAGGTAAATACTTCGAATGTAACGAACCGGGACACTTATCCAAGGATTGTCCCAAGCTTAAGGAGAAGTATTTAAAGTACAAGAAGAAGAAGGCTATGTATGCCGGTTAGGATGAATCCGAACCAATCGATTCTGATAGCGATGATGAGGGCGTTAAGATTGCTCTTCATCACCCCAAACATTTGTTTCATGACTCATGACGATGAGGTACAATTCGAAATCAAAAGTAAATCTCTTTATATGCAATGTGAACTAGAAGCGGCTTTAGAAGAATTAAAATTTGAATTTAAAAGATTAGCAAAAGTATATTCTTCATTCAAAAAAATTACATGTTTCTTGTGACTCTATGTTTGAGCAACTACAATGCTCTCTTGATCTAAAAGATGAAATAATAAAGATCTAGACTTTGAAAACAAATAATTAAGGTCTAAAATTAAGAGATTATATATTAAAAATAATAGAATTAAATCTAATCATGCTTACTCTAGTCATCATCATGTTGATAGAAAATGGTATCATCAATCTCATTCTCCTACATACAAGAAAAGGTTTTTGTGCACATATTGCATGAAATATGATCATATCTCTACTCATTGTAGGATAAAAAATAGCATTGATCATTATAAGTTAATGTTGGTACCTAAGGGTACCAAAAATACTAACATTCAAGCACCCAAAGTTTGAGTACCTAAAGGTTCTACAACTTCTGCATATGTAGGGAACATCTCGTACAAGACGTAAGGAGTTGTGGTACCTTGATAGTGGTTACTCAAATCACATGACGGGCAACAAGAAACTATTTGCAACCCTATCAAGGATTGAAGGAGGCAATGTCTCCTTTGATGGTGGTGAGAAAGGCAAAATTATAGGTATTGGTAGTATTAATAAGATACATTCTCCCATAATTGAGGATGTTTATTTTGTTAAAGGACTAAATCATAATCTTCTTAGTATTAGTTAATTAAGTGATAAAGGCTTTGATATTTTTTTTTAAACAGGATAAATGTATTGTTAGTATGAATGATAAAATTATTTTTGTTGCTTTTAGAAGATCTAATGTTTATATTTTAGTATGAATGATAAAATTATTTTTGTTGCTTTTAGAAGATCTAATGTTTATATTTTTGAGATGAATGAGCTAATTTTGTTGCTTTTAGAAGATCTAATGTTTATATTTTTGAGATGAATGAGCTAATAGATTAAGATGTAAAGCATCTTGGCGCGGTGGATGAGGATCCTTGGATTTGGCACAAGAGATTTGGATATGCTAACATGGAGCTAATATCTAAGCTATCCAAGAAAAACTTTGTAAGAGGGCTACCAAATCTAACATATATTAAGGATTCTACTTATGAGGAATGTGCTAAAGGTAAACAAACTAAGAATTCCTTTAAATCCATAAATGAGGTATCCACTTCTAAACATTTACAATTATTACATCTTGATCTCTTTGGACCTATGCGTGTTACCTTTCTAGGAGGTAAACACTATGTTTTTATTATTGTTGATGATTTCTTACGTTTTACATGGGTAATTTTTCTTGCAAATAAAGATGATTGTTTTGAAGAATTTTTTTATTTTGTAAAAAGAATTGAAAATAAAAAAGATTTGAAAGTTGTTAAAATTAGGAGTGATCATGGTGGTGAATTTAAAAATAAATTCTTTAATAATTTTTGTGCTCATCGTGGTATAACACATGAGTTTTTCTCTCCTAGAACACCCCAATAAAATGGTATTGTTAAACAGAAAAATAAAACCATACAAGAGATGACACGCACAATGATAAACTCTTTTATATTGCCAAAATATCTTTGGGTCGAAACCGTCAATACGGCTTGCCATATTTTAAATCGTATTTTGATTAGACCTACTTTTAAGAAAACTCCTTATGAACTCTTTTTTGGCAAAACTCTGCATATTGGATATTTTCGTATTTTTGGTTGTAAATGTTTTATCTTAAGTACTAAATACCACCATTATAAGTGTATGCGTCTAAAAATGCTTATAAGTTCCCACAAACAGCTCGAAGCTGAGAGAAGACGATGAACGTTACTATCCGAGTCAAGTAAGATTAATTGATGTCGAAGAGCACATGAAGTAATTCGACAAACCGTGTGAAGCAACGGAACTGCAGAATAACGAGGATATGAACTGATCGGGAGCCACGCTTTGCTGATAAAAAGATAAAGCACCCTTCATATCCTGTCTACTCCACATATGATCCAACTATAGGAACTTGTAGATCTCCTCGTTGGCTTTCCTATGCACTTTGAATCACGTAATTCCGAGTTCGGACGGCAAAGATACGGTGAAAATGGACAGAATACGTGAAACAATGTTCCAGGCCTCGGCGAGACACCCATAGGTGTCTCGGCCTCGGCGGAGACACCCACAGGTGTCTAGGCTACTGCCGAGACACCACGAACATCCGTAGTCCCGAAAACTGATTTTTTATAATTTCAAGCCGTTTTTCGACGTTAACCACCAGGATTTGTTCCAACAGATCTGAACCAATCCTAAAACATGATAAAGTGGTTATGAGTGAGGATAAGAGTGAATCGGTCGTTCTTATCCAAAAACAAAGGTCCTAAAGCCTATAAATACAGCACCATGGCCTTTATTTTTTGAGATCTGGAATTCTCGAGCGTCGGCGAAGCCCTGCTGAATTGAAGACTAAAGGAGCACGAATTTCAAAAGATAGGAGGAGATCGGATCGAGTTCTTCGGTACAGAGAAGAAGAGTTTGTCAGATCTACAGTTCCTTATTCTTATCATTGAGATCACCCCCGTTACGGTGATCTTAAGAAGAGTGATTATCTCGCTGTTGTCGAGATAATTGCTTCGGTTTATTGATTCCTTTGCGAATCAATGAAGCTCCGGATTTGATCTAATTGTTTGGTGGTCCACGTATATCAACTTCCCCGTCA